AAGTAACTTTATTATTGTGTTGGAGAAGTAAGTCCCCAAATATGTGGAGAAGGTCAGATTTCCACAGTTCTTGTGGAGGACAAAGGATGGCAAAGAGGGAGATTGGATAAATTATAGAGTCTGAGAAGCATAGTCCTAGCAAGATTGTGCATATAATGGATCTAATTAAAAACAGGAGTCTCAGTTTAGGTGTTGAGCTGTGTTGAATTAGGGTCATTAATGACTCTACTTACCTGAACATGAAGCAGTCCTGGAGTCTTGCTTTCTGAAGAGGAACCTCAGGTCTCTCAGAGGTTCTCAGGGATAGCTTTCTTCTTAGTCTTGTGGAAGTTTTAGTGACAATTACTCATGTAGAATTCTTATGGCTTATCATTACATCCCTTAAGGAGGGACCAGAATGATTCCTCAGGAACTGGTATGAAGGCTAGGACCTTGAGGAGCTGTAGGGCTGCTTTTCTTGCCTTACTGCTACCCTTTTGATTTCTGAAGGAGACTTTAGACATGTCTTTTTGGAATCCTTTACAGTGCATGACTGTGACTTGCTTGGGAAGATAGACTACCTCTACTGCTTGTGTTTTATGGATGATTACTGATTAGTCAGCAAGCTCCTTCTTTCCAGGTAGCTGCATGGGCATTTAACACCAGAAAAACATATCTGGCATCTGTATAGATATATAGCTTTTGGCCTTTTCCTAATATCAGTGCCTAAGTAAGAGCTATGAGCTCTGCTCTTTGAGCAGAGGTCACATGTGGAAGTTGATCTCAATGACCTATTGTGAGCTGCATAATCCTCCTGGGACAAAGCTACTTCTATCAATGAAACAAACATCCTCAGGGTCTTGGGCTGGTCCTTGATGTCCTGCCTGCTTGCATAGATCTCAGAAATGACTAGTTCACAATAGTGGCTCACTTCTGGGCCAGTACGGATGAAAAGGCAAGATTAAGAGTAGTGCAAGTTTTTTAATCCTTAAATCAGGCATTCTATTATACCATGCAGTAGGGTCCATCTGTCAGAACCATCTGCCTAAAGAAGATTCAATGGGTCTCAAACTATGCTAAAATGTGTTGGAGGTGCTTTCAATTGTTAAAGTGATTGGGGGGTGTGGAGGAAGTAATACTGGCATTTCGAGGATAGAAGTTAAGAAATCCCTGTGATGAAGAGTCACAAATGCCTGAAATTCAGCAATTTCACTCAACCTTCTATGTTCTAAGCAGAAATAATTTAACTGAAAAATAGCCTCGTAATTTAAACTGCTATTCCATATCCACTCTTGCCATTTCTTACTTCATATTAAATGCAATTCCTTATTAAATTGGCAGGGTCAAATCTTTCCCATTGATCAAGTGTGAAGTCAGTGGAATCTGTGAAGGACGGTTCATGGCTCATCTTGGGGCCTAGAGAGACAGATAATTAGGTCTAGGTTCCTTAAAATGGCATCCTATGCAGAAGAAGGAGACCCAGTGAGCCCACAACATGTCCCTTGTGAGACTCAAGTATTAACTAGACAAGCATCTCTGAAGCTGGTATGATGGTGTCATGTTTCATAGACACGTAGAAGAAAGCCCTGCTGAGGGCATTTTTATCTCCAGATAGGGTCTCCTAACTGCTTAGGAAGACGAATGTTGAGCCACTTGGTGGTTTTACCTAGCAAACTTCCATGAGATCAGAGTGGAATCCCTCCCCACTGAGATTCTCTTAGCCCCCTGAGGCACTTGATAGCTCTACATAAGCAGGGTGGAGCCACTTGAGAAAAATATCTCTTGCATTTATGCCAGTAATAAACACTTTGGTACTTTGTTTAAGGTGGTATAGGTGAAAAAAAGAAACTGTTAAAAATCCTAAGAACAAGGATGGCTTTTTTGTTCTGCTCAGGCCATCAGGCATATGTTTCTAAATTGTCTCCATTTTTGTTTTTTTTCCAGTACCAGGAATCGAACTCATGACCTAGGCACTGTGCCACTAAGCTAAATCCCCAGCCCTGTCTGCATTTTATTAGAAGAAATAAGAACAAGAAAGTGATCTAGCCTAATCCTAAAGACAAGGCACCACATGTTCCTTGCAGTCAGGGGCTTAGTTCCTATCTACAAAGGTTCCAGTGACCATGAGATCAGTTGAAAACAAAGATGGCAGAAACCACGTGGCTGATTCAAACCATTCAACCAGTCATGTGACAAGACAAGATGGCATCCAGTCATGTGATGAGACAAGATAGTGACCCTGACTAAGAAAACAACAACCTGAGAAAGAAACAGCTATCTAAGGGAAAAGCACAGAAGAGGCTTTGAACATAAAAAGGAGTGAACTGGGGAAGGCATGTACTAAGGCAGGTAATCAAGTTACCAACAGCTATTTTTCCCCAAAAAGGTGAGAAAACTGAACAAAGTATCATGGAGAACAGAAACATGAGGTCAAAAAGGCATATTAAACTCTAGGTCCACACATGGTACCTGATCAATCTGTTCTGCAACTGGGTAAAACTTCATTGGTTGTTCTTCCCTGACAAAGTTTCCACAATGAGTGACCAAAATGGGAAAGAGAAGAAAATGAGAGATAAACTTCAAGTGAGCCTGTAGGCCTCTTACTGGCTGAGAGAAAACCAAAACAACAATAAAAAAAAAAAAAACTCAGAGTTCATGCACTGCCCACCCCCACATAGAGGATGGGAAAAGCAGAAAACAATTCCCAATGCCACAAGTTCCCTAGCCTAGCGGAAAGGGACAGGGAAAGCAAAGAAAAAAACTCATAACATTTTAGAGAGAAACAAACAAAAAAATGTACCTGAAAGGCCTTACCTGTTCTGCTGGCTGCCTAAACCAAATATATTACCAGGTTTTAGGTGCTGGAGTCTCCTTTTTTGTTGTTGTTGTTTTTTTTTCCGGTACCGGGAACCGAACTCACCACCTTACGCTTGCCAGGCAGGCGCTTTGCCGCTGAGCTAAATCCCCATCCCCATGGAGTCTCCTTCTTCAGGTGGTTTCTAGGTTTTTTTCTGTTCTGAGAAAAGAATTGGTCAAGAAAACTGCAAATGGTAGCAAAGTTTTCTTAAAGGTGGGAAAAGAAACAGGCTCTTCTGAGTGAGTTTTAGCCAAGTAGAAGTAGGAAAAAAAGTGTACCTACAGAGTGAGGGTGATCACCATGCAAGAGTGACAACAAGGTTAGAAACTCCAAGTGGACTGTCCTTTTTGTATCGCCCACTCCTCGGACTTATGTCAGGTCTAGGCCATCTTATGGAAAACCTGCTCAAGTTTTCACAAGAAGTCCATAAGCAGAGCTTTGGGAACTGTTCTTTGCATATGTCCTGGAATGTTGTAATTAACAGGTCACACCTACTTTCCTAGCCATCTTTGCCATGCCCCAATCTCCTGTCTCATGATGGGATATGGAGTTAGCACCCTGTTTGTCAGTAGGATTGGGCAAGCAACTACAGCAGCCAAGTACAACTTATCTGAAATCTAAACACAATTCTCCAACTTCACTGGATTGGACCTCTTTTACAGCAAGTCTTCAACCCAATGCCATTGCCAAGTGAACACTTTGTATGTCTGTCCCTGTTGACAAGCCTGCACACAAGTCCCCTGACACCTGCCTGTCCCATAGCAGCTCCAAGGTCAGCCCTTGGAGTCTCCTTCTTTAGGTGGTTTCTAGTTTTTTTTTTCTGTCCTGGGAAAAGAATTGGTCAAGAAAACTGCAAATCGTAGCAAAGTTTTCTTAAAGATGGGAAAAGAAACAGGCTCTTCTGAGTGAGTTTTAGCCCTGGTCACCCTGCTCACTCATCACCTCTGGCTGGTCATCAGTCCAGGTCTATCTGCAGCGCAGGCCTCTGTGGAGAGGCTGAGGTGGACTGCCACCAGCTCTCAAGTGAATTCTGCCAGTGATTTTTATGAGAACTTCAGAAGCCAAATTCTTGCTGAAGTAAAAAATATATATTTTATAGATCTCTGCCCCAGAAATAAATAAATCAACTTTCCTTCCTTGGGAATTATATGAAAAATGTTTGCTTTAGTAGAAACCTTGTAATAGCGGTCTTTACTTTTTGCTTTCAGGAGATATTTACAAGCTAAGATTTCAGACAGAGGCACGTTGATTGTTTTTTTTCTTACTTCAAAGCCTCACAAAAGATAATATGCTTCAGAGTGTACTAGAAAAACAGGATGTCATTATTTCTAAAGTTTTATTATTTAATGACATCCAGTTTAAGCCAGGAGTAATTGTTTTTATGTTTCACTGACTGCGTTTGATTACCTGCTAATTATATTGTAAACAGCCACTAAGATCCTCAGAAAGTAGTGACTCTGTTATTCCAAGGTAAAAGACTTGTTCTAAGATCACCAGAGCAGGGCTCTGATGCTGTGGCACAAAGCAAACCCTTTCAGGAGAGTCTTGCACACTAATTTCATTCTCATATACACTAAGGCTCATGTTCACAGCAGATGCAGGCAAATTTCCACTCACACATGTATGAGGGAAGTCAGCAATGTGTGTGTGTGTGCACGTTGGTGGGTGAGTGTCAAGCCTCTCCAAATTCCCTGTTGTGTTCCCTTCAACCTGCCTCAGAAACTCAAACCTATGTTGTTTCCGCCATACCCACAGAAGTCCCTTAGACTCCCACAACACTGTGCGGGTTCCCTAAGTGAGTCACAACAGGTCTCTGACTTCTTTAATAGAATATCACAAAATCCATCAAGGCCAAAACTGTCAGAGCAGCCCTGACCTGTCCTTTTTAGTCCCAAATTTAGAAGGCAGGGGTGTATTTCACTCCTGGCCTCCTACTCTGAGATCACAGGATACTGGGACTTTTTCTCACACTTATACCTTGTTACTTCTTCTGACCATCATTAGCAAGGAAAGAAGCATAGGCTTATGTATGTGCAAAGTTGTACAATGGCTGGCATGTTCTTGCCACCGTCCCAGAGAGATCAAGGGTATGCCCATGGAGAAGAGAATCAGTGATTATGATGTCATAAGGGTTGGCTCCTCTCACTCCACAATATAACCAGGTTTCACCAGACCTGGGCCTCAAATCTCTTCAGCAGGATGCCCTGCAGAGTTTAACCCTTGCCTTTCCCGTGAGCCATGGTGTAATGGAAAGGCCCTGGTCTTGAAGTGTGCAGCAGAGACAGCAAAGACTACATGGACTGATGCCTCTTCCATGACAAGTTCCTACGGTTGGATGAGCCTCCTTGCACAAGCACTGACCTTCTGGCACTGTTTGCATCTAGATGTGACCAGCTTCTGGTGTTTTTCAGTGGGTCACCAGTGTTTTCCATGTGAGCTGAGGCTGCTAAACACTGGTTCCTTATCCAGTCACTCTTTCCCCATCTTCCAGTTGAATGATGCTGAGAACAGAAAACTCACAACATGACAAAACCACAGGGAGAGACGGCCTGAGTGAGGGCTGTTTGTCTGGAGTCGCCCACCTTGGACTTTGCGTGAATGAGGAGGAAATATATGAATTCAGTGAGGGCTTAGTGAAAACATTAGTGAAAATAAGCCTGGTGAATACATCCTCAGGTTGGTCTGAGTCTGGGCTCTCCCATGTTACCTTTACACCTGGACAAGTGCTAACAGCCACAAGCCTAGAGAGCCAAGATATTGTGTGAGTTTATGAAGATAACATACAAGGTATGACTGAAAGAGACGGTGAATGTTTAAATTTCAGAATTCTTACAGTAAAAGACACATTGCCATGAATCCCCCCACAAAATACTCAATTTCACTTCAAATATACTTATTCCATCATTTCTGCAACTTTCTGAAGCAGTTGTGAAAGTCCTCATTCATGAGTGTCTTTACTTGTTCTGTTGCAGGTGCCGTGATGTCTTAAACAGGTTCAAAACATTTGTCCTTCATGCTCATTTATACTTTGGGAAAGAGCAAGAAATCACATGCCATCAGATCTATGAAGAAGGGGGACTGGACATCATAATGTTTCAATGGCCTGCCTTTCCACTGAACGGCAGTCAGCAGCAACTTTCCCTGTATTTTTTATCACATACTCATGAGAGTTTCCAGAACTGCTTCAGAAAATGGCAAGAAGAATTAGAGACATGTGTTCAAGGTAAGGGAGAACATTTTGAAGACAATTAATGTCAATGTACGTTTTAATTTAATTAATTTAAGCATTTACTGCATATTTTGATCACCCCTTTGGAAGGACTGAAACAAAATTAATCAGACTGAGCTTAAAATGGGAAGTATTGGTTCACAAACTTCAAAGTATGAACTGGGAAGCCTCCAGAAAGGCAGGAAGAGAGCCAGTGTTGCCATTTTCAAGCCAGTATCTCCACCTCCCATGTCTATGTCTCATCTTTGATCTCTGGCTGCCACCTCATTTTTATTCACTTAAGATCACTTTTCATTCCAAAACTCTGAAAATACAGCTACTAACAACATCCCTATTCCACATCTTACCACTTCTATGTCAGAGAGGATCAGTTTACTTTAAAGTCCTCATGTCCAAACTGCCAAGACAGAGAGGCCTGGGCCAGGGCCATGTGTTTGGAACAATCACCACACTCTACCGTGTGGCTGAGTCAGGGTGTTCAGAAAGTTAGATGTATTCATGCATTTTCAACTTGCAGTGGGAAGCTGCTGTAAAATCAGCACATGATAAGCCCAGCATCTGTACTAATAGCCCCTGACATACAGGGGAAGAAATTGAATCTCATAGAAGTTAAATTACTGGCCCTCCACCACCCAGCCTCATGAGGCAGAGGTGGAGTCTGAGCACACCCATGCAGCTTCCAAATCAGGGACCCTGGTAGTGTAATGCAACATGTGCTTGTGCTCTCCATTCCCTCAAGGAAAAAAAGCAGTTATGTCATTCTGCAACAGCTGGTTTCACTAAAAGTCACTACATCTGCCTGCATGAGTGAGGCCTGGGTTCCATTCCTGCACCACAAATAACAAGAACAGTAATAACATCATTTGAGGAGGATGCATTGCATCCGTAGGGGAAGGAACTATCAGCACTGGATCACTGATGGACTGCACTGATGTCGGGTGGCAAGGGAGAGGTTACCACTGGAGCAGGAAAGGACCCTACCAATCTGTCCATACTCAAATCAGCAAGTGTCCTGGTATGTGCACCATCCCAAGGAAAGCTGGACTCAGACACTTGTAGCAAGCATGGTCACTTTTCATCAGATTCACCGTGGTGAAGATAGGGGACTGAAAGGCATAAAGGGTGAGTACAAACAGGCTTTGGTACTGGCTCAGATGAGCCTAATTTGATGGCAGAGCCATGGACATCTGTACTCTTTTCTTCTCCACATTTGATAAAGAGGTGTATGCATCAGGTCAGAGACTTCATTGGCCTTTGTAGGATTCAACCTTTATTCTCTCTGTGAAGTTGCCCAGCTTCACCTGACTCTTACACGCATAATGTCATCTTTTATCATTTGATCTAGATGTTGAGCAAAATTTACTATACTGAAGTATTTTCTAAGCTCTTGTGCAGACAAAAGAATTTCTCCTATGTCTGCACTTAATGGACAGGAAGTTTGTACACTGTTAAGAGTCTAAGGATATCACATCACTCCCTCTTACCTCCTCAGCCCTGAGTGACCAGCCTTCACTTATGGAAGATTGGCAGAGGTTTAGCATGTGGGAATCATCACAAGTGGAGGGTGTAAAGGGAAAGAACAGAGCTTTGAGCTCTGCCTCCAACCTTCCTGAGGTCCTTGTTAGCTGTGTGGTCTTGGGCAAATCATTTATCATTTCTAAGTCTCCACTTCTTCAGTTCAAAAATGGAGCTGGAGTCCCCTATACTGAGAATTTCTGTGACAACTAAATAACTGAAAGGTGTCACAGACTTAGCTCTGTCCTGAGAACTCAGCCCAGAGCCCCACAAACATGGCCAAAAACTGCTGGATTAGGGACACGCCTTGCATGTTTCTAAAGAATACATCGCCCTTAGTCCCCTGAGTGTCTCCTCACAGTCTGCATCTGGAAGGCGTGCCTGGTGTGGATCTTTGCAGAAAGGCACTGCAGCCGTGAGCAGCCATCCCAGGAGCATGGTGTCCCTTGTGCCAGCAGAACTCCAGGTTAGTCTGAGGGAAGCACGGTTCCTTGTGTGCAGAAGGACATGCGTGCTAAGCAAGTGTCCCTCCACTGAGCTAGATCCCACAACTCCTCAACCAGCTTTAAACTGAACTCTTTTTTTTTGCCTTTCCCCTGAGGCAGTTACTGCTTTTCCCTCATCTACTTTTTGCAGATGACTAGGACTCCTGGAGGCAGAGTGCGAGGGGGTGGGTAGGGTGGCAGAGAACTGGGACTGGCTGCCCCAGTTCCATTCACACCTGTCCATCTCTTGGAACAGGAACTTCTTCTCTGGGTTGGAGGTTTATGAACACACTGCGTTTAAAAATATCCCACAGGCTGCAATCAGGTATTGTAGAGGTGCTATAGGTAGTTTCTTTAGAAATGGCTTGCCAATCAAAAGTATTCCCGGGTTCTTCTTGCCTCAAACAGTTGGAAGAGACAAGCCAAACACAATGTCAAACATTTACTTGAAAATTGTGGGATAAATGGGTATGGGAGAAACCAGCTCTGCAGAACTAACTTGGGCTAAATAAAGAGGAAAAGAAGGTAAGAGCAAAAATAAAATACACAGTGTCTGAGAAATGTGGCACAGGCTGCTGTGCAGACTCACACGTGATAGTGTCTTTCCCTGACCACTGCTCATTTTTAGGCTGTGCATATCTTGTCCTTGTCCATGCGGGGTCCTCAATCTTGTGATTGACAGGCCCCACTCAGTTGCCTATCCAGCTTTGCCACGCCCTTTCTCCTGTATCCCAATGGCATTCCCTAGTGCAGGCCCAGTTACTGGACACCCCCAGCTGTTATCACTGTGTAAAAAGAGTGAGCCTGGCAGGCTTCGTATCCATGGCTTCAGAGCTGGTCCCTCCAGTGAAGCCTGTGAGGTCAACCTCAGGGCCTACTGCTGTTACAGCTTTTAGTTTTTAGTTCAGGAAGTGGCACGAGTGGTGAAGGCTACAGAAGTTTGGGCCTCAGTGCTATTTCTGCCTCAAAAAAATGAGGTTTGTTTTTCTTTAGGACACGTCTAGTATCTGTTACCCAAAATGCTTGAATTGATTCAGATTTTGAATTTTTTCAGGTTTTGCAATATTTGCGTATACATAGTGAGATACCTTGAAGACAGGACCCAAGTCTAAACACAAATACAAAATAAATTTGTGTTTTACATACACATAACCTTCTACAGGCCAAGGTATTTTATAGCCTAAGGTATTTTTTGCAATATTTTCAATAATTTTGTGCATAAAAAAAGTATCACATTATGGAATTTTCCACTTGTTACTTTATATCTGGGTTCAAAAAGGTATGGGGTTTTGGAACATTAGGAATTTCAGGTTTTCAGATTAGGAATGCACAACCTGCACTAGAGTTTATTTTTGACATATTATAACAGTGTGTATTTATGACAGACAGTGTGATACTCAATACTTGTATACAAGAAATACTAAAACAAAATAATTAGAATTTTCACTGGAATTTCCTAAACCTCACACCACAAAGGCATTCCAAAATGAAGGAAAATAGAAACACTCAGAGATAATGCAGAGAGGTTCCCAACTGCCTCACTGGCCCCTGGATAGCAGGTCTGACCCTGTCCCTTCCTGTGAAGAGCCAACTGCTCAATCTGAGCCAAAGGGCATGTTTAATCCAATGCTATTGGTAGAGGGGCAGCTACACTCCAGAAGGGATAGGCCCTGAATGCCAACTGCAGGACAAGACCAAGGGGTACAGACAAGAGTCTAACCCAGGCTCCTACAGCTCCATCTGTGAGCTGGAAACTCCTCTCATCTGGATCTCACAAAGATTAGTAAGTCATCTGATAAACTATGAAGCTCTCATGAGAAGAAAGGAACCATTGATACAGGCCAGAATATAACTGTGGGGAACATATTTTCATTATTTCTTAATTAATTTTGTTGCTGGGGATTGAACCCAGGACTTCTACCACTGAGCTATACTCCTAGTCTTTACTAATTAATTATTTATGTAAATCCAGAGGCCTGTATTCTGGGCCAGACTGTATAGTAGAAAACAAGGATAAAATAAGAGGCCAGATGTGGTCTCTGTTTAGAATCTAGTATGTGAGATGAAAGTAAAATCAAAGAGTTGCGGTATGAGGAAATTTTACAACTGCTATCCAACAACAATGGTGTGATTCTTACAAGGCTTTTGGTTACAAATAGAAAGGTCTGATGAAGGTATTTGGGTCCTGGGAGTTCTGAGAAGTTGGAGAGGAAGCTAGTAACCCTAGGGTGGGCTCACATTGTCAAGAGAGCTGTTATCTGGACCAAATCTCAAAACAAGAACTTATGGAGTACATAGATGGTGAGGGAAGCATCAAACGAAGGCACCAGCCATGCAAAGAGACCGATGCACAAATAAGGCAAACAGGGAACTATTCGTTCAGAAAGTTGTACAGTGATTTAAGTGGACTGATACTCTCTCATCCTGAGAGTAATTGGTTCATGAACTCACCTGACTTTCCCTACAGGTTAGGACCCCAGGAATGGTAGTTTTTTCTGAGAGGTTGTAGGGAGGATGCTGGAAAGAGGTTGAAGCAAGTCCCTCCCACCATCTGCCCTGGTGTCATGACAGTGTTTACACTGCTCCTGCAGTAGATGCTGCATCGAGAAGGAATGTGTCTTCTGTATCACATATTCTGGCTTTGCCACAAAATGGGCCCAGACTCCAAGCTGTGTAACACTTTATTTACTGAGAATTGAATACTGGAAAAATTTTCATTCTCACTGAGGATCAGATCTTCTGACAATTCCTGAGTCACTTTAAAAGAAGAAAACAGAATTCAGGAGCATAAGTCCCCCTGCCTCACTCAAATCAAAGTGCTTTGGGGAAAAATCTGCCTGGAAATTAGACTCTGAGGGCAACAGAACAAGATTACTTCTCCATCAGACCTGGCTTTTATTACTAGGGTTCCTCATTCTAACACTTATTGGTTGAAATTTAAACACTGGAGAAAATGAATCAAGAGCTTTCAAGTTTTCAAAAGCACTTGAAGCT